CCCCAAAACCCCAAAACCCCAAAACCCCAAAACCCCAAAACCCCACAATAGATAAGCCTTATTGGCGTCAGCTATTATAAATTATTAGAAAACCCTAAATTCTAAAATGGAGAGCAATAATGAAGCTCTAAGTGAAGTCAGCAACAATGTGTTTAACCTCAACTTGAGGAATCCATACATTGCAGGAGACTCCAGCGAAGATGACTACTTTGGTAAGTTATTCATATTACTTTTTTCGATTTTACTTTGCAAAGACAAGTGAGATTACTTATTTTTAGTGATAATACTACTTTTATCCCGAAGTAGAACTTTTTCATTGGTGTTCATGATTTCCCCTAATTTGGCCCATCAATGGTTGTTCGTACTCATATTTGTGGAAAACTGTATCTAATCTTCCCATATAGTTTATGAAGACGATAAGACCGATAAGCAGGATCAGCCACTGAATCACAGCTTTGAGAATAATAGCTCAAAATTTTACCGTGAATGCTCAGGAATCGACAATGGAGACGTCCCTAGCCGCGCTCAGAGATGGATTGAGGAGAAGTTCAAGGACACTGACTCGGAGAAGACACACCTCTTTATCGAGCAAAAGTTTGATCACTTCTTCAGAGACTGTAGCTTCATAATCGAGCCAAAGGTTACCTCATTAGGATCCACTAATGCGGGTGGGGGAAGCTCTTGTGAATTTTCCCGTGAAGATCTGAACGACAATTCTTTCAACAATTCTGAGGATAATTTTTCAGTGTACACAGACAAAGGATCTGAGAATAAAGAGAACAAGGAAACCACTCCAACTCAGATTCACAAGCTCAAGATCTCTAACTTTTGGAAGAGGGTGGATATGAGACAAAAGAAAGTTATTAGAGGCCTCTTGGGACTCTCTAAGGACTACTTTAGAAGCATGATTGAAGCCAAGAGCCCAGGAAATGATGTCTTCCAGATCTGGGACACCAAGCTGAGAACTACTTTCCCGCAACTTTACCAAGAGACTCGACTAAAACTCCTAGGTCACATAAGTGTGATGTGTCTGAGTTGGAAATTTGCTGATAAGATTCGATCCTGTGGTTTATTCACCCAAGAAGAGAAAGAGAGTATCATCAAATTAGGTGAAGAGTTCAAAGCCCAAAGAACTAAGTGCTCTAACTCCTCCATCAGGAAGCTGATACTAAACTGCCCTCTTGTTCAGATAGGCAAGCTTCTTTACCATACTTCCAAAACTTGAGAGGAATCCTTCTGGAATCAAATCCTCGAGAGGAAGAAGAGCGAGATAGTAGAGTTCAAGGTATTCAAAGAAGCCCATCTGAAGGACTTCCAGAAGATCGATGACATCTCTTTCTCTGGATCTATTTAAACCCCAAATTTAATCATATTTTTTAAAAATTCCGAACTACTCTTCTTTTTGAAAATTGCATTTTGTGTAGGCAGGGAGTAACAAAATTGGGGAGGGAAAATACACCATTATTCCTGAATTTAAGTTCTTCCAAGAATCTGGTCGAACCTTCGAACGCTATTATTACCAACTACATGACTGTAGGATACCAAATGTTTTGGTACCAAAGATCGCAGGTGTAGCCAAGAAGCTCAATTGAAGACAAACGGGGATTTTATGAAATTTTTAGTTCTTCTGAAATTTTTGATCTCCTTAAAGACTTTTTATAAGAATATTCTGGAGCTCTAAATTTTAACTTAATTGAACGCAATTGCAGTTATTAAACATCTCTCTCCTCGAACAGGCTAAATAGCCGGTTTTTCAGGGAATTTACTATCTGAAAATTCATGAAAATTACTCCCAAAATTTCTCACCGCGGCTCAAATCTCAGAGGAGTAGAGGAGTTTGGGGGCCTTACCATACCTCTTCTATGCAGCACAGTTAATTTTTATTGGTTAAAATTTTCACAGTTAATTTATCTGGTTACTTATTAATTCCGGATAACAATTAAATTTAAGGCCGGTTTTATTATTAATTTTTCTTATTTTCAAAGTTCAAAATGGAAATCGTCTTAGTTTAGTTTTAACACCTTGGAAGACTCTCTTAGTCTACACGAATGTGTCTAAAACTCAATATATTGATGCATTAGCATATCAACATAGCCTGAATATGTCGTTATGCTGCTGAAATTTTTTGGCTAAAAATTTTCGGCTCCAGACTCTCAAATATCCAAAATAATAACTAAGGGATCATGCCGACCCTTATCACAACTATTCCCAACCTAAAACCCAACCTGAGCCACTAATAACCTGTAATAATAAATGATGGACTTAATATGTTCGAGATGATAATTATGAGCTACCGTGTAATGATGAACCTAGAGATGACGCCATCGTTATGGCTTGTATCAGAACTCAACCATGATAATAACAAATGGGGTTTTGGGGTTTTGGGGTTTTGGGGTTTTGGGGTTTTGGGGTTTTGGGG